CGGGGGTTATTAAGCCTTGCAGTGGGGCTAGCCAGGCACTGCAAGGGTTAACTGCTCGTTTGTGTCTAGATGTTAAAAGAACAAAGATATACTCACCAAAAGCTCAGAGACGGCCAGCTGTCATGGCACTCCTTCCAGCCTATCCCCTCCTTTGCAGCACATTAGCACGTCCCTCAGCACCCTGACGTCTATGAACACTGTAATGATGTAATGATTTACTGGACCTTAGACCCTTACAGAGGAGGGGGAGAGACAATCCAGAGACCGGTCTAAGAAAAAGCCGGCTCGGAGCTTTGGGTGATTTTAGCTTTTTTTAAAAAAAACAACTCAGACACAAATGAGCCCCATATCAATGTATGGGATTCTTCATGTCAGTGGTTCAGCGCGGCCAAACCGCCCTGGTGTGAATGTGCTTCTGCGTTTACTTGTTTTTAAAAACAAAATTTAACAGCAGTTAAGAGTCTGAAACATTTAGACACTGATTTAATAGTAATTTATGATGTGCTTTATGCTATATACTCGCCATTTTCTCCTTTAACTCCAGGTTTTCACTTCTCAAGAAGGCAGCTTCCCTTTGAGCATCCCGAGTTACAGTTTCAGCATCACCCATAGATTGTTTCAGCTGAAACACTTCTTCGCATAGTTTTTCATTGTCACCACCCTAAGAAAAACACCAAATCATACAAAATTAGTGAGAGGAATGCATACAAAAAGGAGACAGCAGGTACGGTTGAGGGAAATCCTCTAGAAAATCTGACAACTCCAGGAAGAGTCAACATCCCAAGCACAGCCCCCCTCCCCTGCTTACACATCCTAACCCTCTCCCCTTCTGAAATGTACAATTACTCTGCCCCTCCATTCAGCCACAAAAGGGGAATACTATAAAGTGTCACTTAAGTGATAGCTCTGAGGCTGCTGACATCACATCCAAGATGGCATCACCCAGGAGCAGTCTCAGGGTTTTTGGATGTCCAGACGAGAGGCCTTTACAGGTAAATAACATGCACAAAATACATTAAATGCACAGATAGTTTAATAAGATGTTTGGTTTAAATGTATGGTCAGGCAATGGGGGTCTCTTCAAAATGCAAGACATTGTTTCCACTCCTCATAGTTAGAGCCGACTTGTGACAAAGAAGCTGTCACAGTTCGGCTCCATTGATCGGGAAGTGAGTGGAAACATGCACAGGTCTGCTCACTTTCGGATTGTCTCCCTGCAGTGAGCGGTCAGTCACCTCTCCCCACAGGGATTCCTCCCTCCCCGATCCAAAAACTGAACCGTGCCAGTCAGATCTTGACAAGCATTAATCTTTAGAGGGGGGAGACAAATAGAATAAGTACACTATTTTTCTCTTGCCTGGTTATGTGCACTTTCAAACAAATAAATTGCAGACCACTGAAATGCCAGTTTCCTATCAGTCATACTGATGCTTAGACTTACTCGGGTCAGTGACTCGGATCAAGTATAGACACGCTTCTGACATTTTTCTTTGATTTGCAACATGCTTGCTCTTAGCCTGATTCGGAAGCACTGAAGCCAGACATAGCCAGGTAACTAGCATTTACAGAAGTAGGACAGCCCAAGAATTCCTCTTATAACTGGTGTACTTTAATGCACAAAGAACATTAGAAAAGGCAGCAACAGCGATTCCAACTACACAGATAAAATGTGCCACATCACCATTAAACAATATACTTTGTCAAAACTGTGATGAGTAGCGAGGAAGTAATCATGATCAAGACCATCATTCTGTACAGAATTTACCAAGGCCTACTACTGCAAGGGCAGTAAAAACAGTTCAAGCGGGAATGAGAGGGGGAAACCTGTAATCCCCGAGCCAATAATATTAACCCCTTCATGACTGAGGCCCTTTTTTCAATTTTTGCACCCATGTTATATTCCAAATTTTAGGCCTGAAAATGACGTAACACCCCCCAACATTATATATTTTCTGAATGCCAAGACCCTATAGAATAAAATGGTGGTAGTACAAGTGACAAACAGAAAACTCCTGGTGCTGAAAAGTCGCTGAGCAATTTAGTTACATCTTGAGTGAAGGCACAAACCTCTGATATTTTTCATTTTCATCAGTCTATCATGAATGCTGCTGCCAGACTCAGCCACCTTACCAACCGTTCAGTGTCTGCCGCCCCTCTCTGCCAATCCCTTCAATGGCTCCCAATTGCCCAATGAATAAAATTCAAAATACTAACACACAAAGCCATCCACACCTTGGCCCCCGACTACATCTCCAACCTCATCGCAAAATATCACCCAAAACCGTCCTCTTCGCTCTTCTCAAAACCACCTGTTCGCCGGCTCTCTAATCACCCCTCCCTTGCTTGCTTCCAGGACGTCTCCAGAGTATCTCCCATCCTCTGGAACTCCCTACCCCAATCTGTCCACTTATCTCCTACACTGTCCATTTACTTCTTCCACTAACTCAATCTAAACAATTACATTTTGTATCACTTGCCCCCGCTACTAGATTGTAAGCTCTCACGAGCAGAGCAACTCCTAGCCCTGTTGTACCGAAATTGTATTGCAACTGTCTCCCCCATTTTGTAAAGCGCTGCGCAAACTGTTGGCGCTATATAAATCCTGAATATTAATAAAATCACTGCTACAAAGCCTTGGACAATCACTATATTGAGGCAACATTGCGCTAATGCACTTGTGTTAATGTGCTTTATGGCATACGGTAATGGGTGCTAAGGCAGTCCATTCAAGATGAATAGATTGCCAATGCACCGCAACATATGAAAAACATACATGACCCTTTTTTAAACATGCACCACAATCCATGGCATGTGCATTATGGTGTGCTGCATTAAGCTCAGGTGCAAGGGCCTTGCCATGCATTGTGATAATGTGCGCGTTTTAGTGTGCACTGCCACAACACACATGTGAATGGGCACAAAATGTGGAGCAACCTTTTACAACTGGACAATAGCCAACACCTTAAAAACATACATAATATACACTGCTGTCACAAATAAACATACTATACCATAGATGTAGAGAGATCAGAATATCTGGCTTTTTTCAAGAGCTCTTCAGCATCTTTTTTTAATTCAGCTATTTGCTTTTCTTGATCTTGTAAAACGTTGGATTTATTTTCTAGTTCAGCCTGAAATTTTAAAAAGGATAGAAAAACAATAAGTCACACTTTAGTTAGTCAAAGGTCTTACATCTTTTGCTACACATCCATAAGAATGGTCAAGTATAATCACAAGATGTAAGTTTTCCCAGATATGGTTTACAACATAGGACCAACTAGCCTTTTTAGCAGATAAAGGGCTATACACAATGTGCATTATAAAACACATTCCAGTAACACACCACAACGCACTGTGCATAATGGTGTGTTACATTTTGAAAAAGAAAAAAAAGGGGGGAGAACAGGATCTGTTTTTTGTGCATTGAGGTGTGTTCAGTGCCAATCCCAATTAATGGCCTGACCAACACAGCACATCTTTTTAACACACTAACCCCCATCAAAGACTTTATATTCTTTAAACCAATAACAGTATTCGAGGCCATCATTTTTATTATTAAAAGACATACAAGTTTGAAATTGCACTAGAAAAACCTCACCTCCAGTTCTTGATTGTACAACTCTGCATTCTCTAATACCTTCTTTAAATTGCCAATTTCATGGATTAGTTGTGCCTGGAAAGTAATTAGCAATAGGGCAGGGAGCATTAGCCAGCATTGTTGATTAGAAAGCCATCACCAAAAGAAACAAACACAAACAGAAATGTAAATTTTGGTGAAATTTAGAAATGATTCCAGCAACCCGGCATTAAGAAAAATTTTGCGCACCCCAAATCGCCTCTTTTCTCCGTAACACCACATACACACAGAGACTTGTACAGATCCTTTAGATGCTAAAGTTTACTGGAGGTGTTTTACTGTGTACAGTTTTGAAAGTTTGCCAGCTCTCAGCTCTTGTGCTGACAAATATGCTGACCCCCTTCTGAAGCTGAGAGCTGCTAGCCGATTCATGATTGAATACCTTGAGTCAATGACCAGGAATACAGCATACATCAAGTCCTGAGGTACTGAGGACACTTGTTTAGCATGCCAACCACGAAACAAGCATTTTTAAAAGAACTGGTTAGCAACACCAGACTATTACATCAGTAGAGGCTTCCTTTAAAGGGTCTTTCACCTCTTACTTACGCAAGAAGACAAAGTCTTAACGAAGTGTTATAAATACACGCTCAGTGAAACTTTCCTAGGATCAGAACTAAATGAGACTTCTCTGTGTATATATGTGCATGGAGAAAGTCAATGTGTTATAACACATGCAGCAGAGCAAAAAGGTGAAACATGCAACTCAGGATTGCATCATTATATATTCAATGGTTACTAGATACGCGAGCATTACAGCTAAGATTATACTATTTAGGTTCCCTCGTAGCCAAATAAATGCTCCAGAGGAAGACTGCACCATAATGGATTTCTTCAAATAGTGCAGAAAGTGAAAAATACAATAATGTATACTTTAAAAAAAAAAGGCGAAACAGTATTATATCAAATGACATGCACATGAAAGATCCATTTGTTTTGTTCTCAGCAACCTTGGTACTATACGTGTTCTACCATCTTGACCTGTCCAAAGTAGGTTTTTCCTTGTGCCAGCATCACAAAGCTACAAAAGTCACCATTATTAAACATACATATAAAACTACACACAAGACAGGCAGGTGAGGGGAAACCTGTTCTGATAACATCTGCCTACATTTAGATTTCCCTTCGTAGTAGAGATTTCCTTTCTTCCTGTTTTGTCTCTGGGACAGGAAGTAAAGAAAAATCTACAAAAATAAATAAAAAACAAAAAACACAAAATACACAACATGACAAATGTGTTAACTATATTAAACCATCTTTAGATGTACTTTAAATGGGAGACTAAAATGTCCCAAAAAAAAAATTACAGCTTTAAAAACTGCATTCAAAATATTTTACATATATATATTTCTTAGGTTTATTCATGGCAAAGCATACTAGGTTATTTACCAAGAAAGAACTACTGTCTCTATGCTTCTTGGCTGTCCATGCAATATGTTCCTGTCTTGCCAGGTAGAGAGCCAAGGACCCAAAACAAAGTGTTCCTGCTTTGTATAAGGTGCCACTTTCAGACTACAAGTAGTGAATATTAAATAAATCGTAAACCTATTCATATTTACCTGATTGAATTTTTTTTTTTATTTGACACAATGTAATGCAATGTTCAAACACAGCATTTAATAAGTGTAAAATACACCAAGTTTAAACGTTTTCAGAACATACTTTAATAGTTACAATAGAGAGGCATTACCAAGAGTTTGACTTACCTCTTGCTCTTTTTGCGTTTCTTTCTCCAACATTTCAAACTCATTTGTTTCATTTTTCTCTTGAATATATTTTTCCATTGTGGCAATTTCTTGTTTCAGGCTCTCGTTCTCCACAACAACACTATCAAAGTCCTCCCGCAAAATAGCCAGTTCGTTTAGAGCCGTTTCCTAAGGCAAGGAACCTTGATTACATTTTCATCACCTATAACATTTACAAAAGCAAACCACTAAACCAGCACTTACTTTCTCCAACATTAGAGCTTCACAAATTTGGAGACTTTCCACTAAGTTACTTTGCTGATTCTGAAAAGAAATATACAAATTAATGCACAAATAAAAGAATATTAATGAATTACGCAAAGTAGCATCACACTATCATTTCAGTAACCTTGCTGGTGAGGAAGGTTCTGCAGCCTTTTGGTCAGTGAGGGTGTGACACTGAACAAACAGGGCAGTATATTCTTTGCACTCTATAGAGGACAAGTGTGACATGGACCTTAAAGCAGACCTTTACATTCAAAAATCTACTTCTACCAATGCATCCCTCTGTGTATGATGAATAGTAACAGACATGCCTGGTGTAAAATGCTGTGTTTTTGAAATGCTTACATTTGCAAAGCATTCACTTCCTGCTTTGAAAAGGCAAAATGACTTCAGTTTGTCAAAACAATGCACACTGGGATTGCCTTGTCATCAGCAGAGCATTGCTGGGAAATCTCATGAGATCTCAGGGAAAGGTATTTTCCTCCCCTGAAATGGATGTGCGTGGTCACATGTCCCAGAAATACAGAAAGTAATAGGAGAGCTAGTAATCTGCCCTTAATAAACATGGCCACTGTCAAGAGGCTGGGGAAGAAAAAAAAGGGGAAAGCTATGCAAAGAATACAAAACCTGCAATTTTCTAGTATGTCATTGTAGATTGTCATTTCTAAAAGGTGTGTTTGTTATTTTAAATATATGGGTAAAGGTCGCGCTTTAAGCAAAAGAGAGATTTTCCACTTAAACCGCATGCACATCTAAAAATAGGATTTTTGTACTCACCGTAAAATCCTTTTCTCTCCGTTCATTGAAGGACACAGGCAACAGATCGTAGATCCTGAATGGTAGGGTAATATCGCCACCTGCAGGAGAAGGACGCTAGGCACAAAACTAAAGACCAATTACAGCCTAGGGGCGGCCCCTGCCGGTGGCCAAACCCCCCACCTGCTGACAAGTCTCCAGTTTAGCAACAAGCAGTTAGGAGTGTACACCCCATAAAACAGCACAGTGTTTACATTGGCGCAGTGCTATTTTTGAGAAGCAAAGTGGGGAATGTATGAATTAAATTGCAAACCTAAGTGTATATACTGTAGGTCTCAATCTTTCTCACTTATGTTTTGCAGGCTTTGACCTTAAGAAAGGCTGGCAAGTCTTTAGAGTGTGTCCTCGTTTTTCAATATACAGTATATGTGTTTGTTAAATTCTCTTCTAGAATGGTGTTACTGATGAAAACAGCAAACCAATTCTGTAGTTGGTCAACAGAACAGCTTCTGAACTACTCCGGATAAAAAAAAAAGCAAACAGCAAAGGATTGTATAGCTTGCAGTTACTATGGGGTGCATGAAAATGTAGACCTACTAGCTCTGTCAACCACTCCTTCACCCTGAAGGAGTGGTTGACAGTTAGTAGACCTACATTTTCATGCACCCCATAGTAACTGCAAGCTATACAATCATCTGCTGTTTGCCTTTTTTTTTATCCGGAGTAGTTCAGAAACTGTTCTGTGTTGACCAACTACAGAATTGGTTTGACCAAACCCTGAAATCCTTACTTGCACATACGATAGCTACAAATTTTAGATTACAGTAAGAAGAGACTTTCAACTACAATATGACGTTGGCCATCTTCTATGGAGAGACCTTTAGAACTAGTACTCACACTTGTTTCCAGATCTACTATCTTCTGCTCAAGCATCATTATTTGCTCTTGACAAATATCATGGATCTGACTTGAAAGGTGTTCCTTATCACATTTCTCTTGCACCTGATCCGTTTGTGTGCACTGATCTGAAATGTTCATTTTATCTTGGCTTAGTGTAAGGTTTGAATCCAAAACTTCCAGCTGTTCAGCTGCTTCCAAACCAACCCTCATTTCATTCCTCTCAGGCCTATTTTGTAATTTATCTTTAAGACTAGTTATTTCCAGTTGATGTGCTTTCACAAGTGTATCTTCCTCCTCTTCTTTAGCCTCAAGTTGTTGCTTTAATTTTAAAGTCTCTTTTTCAAATGATGCTCTTCTCTCAACTTCTGCTGCATAATCTTTAGTAATGGTCTTTAGCCGATCCTCCAACTCTGCAAGTTTCTGCTCCAGCACTTCGTTATTTTTTGGCGAGGAGGAATCCTTTAAAAGAGCACTGTATAAAAAGAATGGCAGAAGGTGAAACAGTGACAAAATGCATTAACTTTTAAATGCATGTAAAACTGCTGAAACCTTGGGATTATATGCAGATTAAAAAATCCAGCGCATTCACTTATGTTTTAAGCACTTCAGCAAAACCTCCCTTCCCCATGACAGCCAGATTAGACAACATACAGGTCTGGTAGTTTACATAACCCTGTGCATATCAGACTTCCTGACTGTTTACATACACAAGCTCATTTTAGGTCCATGAAAGCCCAAGAATGTGTCCCTTTAAAAAAAGGCTAGCAATGATAGATCCTATATTTCTCTGACTGGCTCTTATTAATATATGACAAGGTGCAAATATTTTGGTCTGAGGCAGGAGGAAGTTCTTCTGAAGACTTGCTGCCAAAACTGCTGCAAGGTATTTACTGGTAGGTTTGGTAAATGATCTTGTTTTAACTTGAGCCAAACATGCAGTATCGGGCCTGCCTTTTCTTTTATGCCAAGATGCTGCTGGCAAAAAGGCCTTCTTTGGGCAAAGAAAAAAATAAATAAAAAGGAAAAAAAACTTACACCTGCAAGAGGGTTAGTGCAAGGGGAGTCAAACAAAGCTGTTAGAGACTTACCTGGTCGCAGCACCTGTAGCTTCCTCTGGATGTTGTAATGTCCCTCAGCATCCTGACGTCTAATGCAGGTCAATGGACCTGCATAAAACGTGATTACATCAGCGGTCCTTAGCCAGAGCGAAGGGGGGAAAAGAGGCTGCAGGGACAAGTCTAGCAGACTGGAAGGAGATGGCAGGCGTGGGAATCAGGTAAGAAAAACAGCTTTAATAGTGTCCCCTAGACAAACAAGCACTAAACCTTTGCAGTAGGGAATAGCCCCATTGCAAGAACAAGTCTTATTTGCCTGGAGATGTGCTTTAATAGGTGTAATTCTCCTTACTAGGGCCGAATCTAACGATTATTTTCATAATCGATTAGTTGGCAGATTATTATTTTTTTCCGATTAAACGGTTAAAAGGAAAAAAATGACATACCATCTTTTATTTAAGCTGAAATATACAAATGGAGTGTTGCAAAGTTTACTTCAGTATAAAACTGCATGCACATTTTTTGCAATCGCACGGTACCAAGCTTTCCAGTGCGGGTGAGAGGCACGTTTGGGGTGCCATTGAAATGAATGGTACAACACATCCTGCAGCAGAATTTGTCAGGCCGAAACCAAAAACGACTTTTCCCCACTAAATATATATCATACATACATACATACATACATACATACATACATACATACATACATACATACTCCTCCAGGTCCTCCTATGCTGATTGACAGCAGGCAGTGGACGGGTACAATAGCCAATCTGGTATTGGCTATTGCAATTTAAAATAGCCAACAGCAGGCTGGCTATTGCGCCCCGCCACTGGATAAGAAACTTGACGCAGGCTTTCTACCACGGGCAGAAGAGGGGGAACAAGGGGCGGCAGCATCAGAGAAGGGGCACGGCATCAGGGGAACTGAAGAGCCACAGCTGTCTATACTCCCCACTGGGTGCCACCTGCAGCGCTCTGTGTCCACTCTGATTGAAGTAATTTGAATAACTTGAAGTAGACATTTGGCACTACCCATACTTAGAGAACTATGGGGTAATCTTTTTATCATAGTTCTCCTCAGGGCCATGGGAGGACATATACCAACTTCCTCTCGTGACACAAAGCTCAGTATATACTGAGCGTCACAGATCCGACAATGTTGTGGAGATCCACCCAGCTGGCTGATTGACAGCGGGCTCTGTCTATCTAGAGGGAGAGCCAGCTGTGCTCGTCCCCTCCCCCGTCCGTTCCTCCAGTCAGCACTGGAGGAACGGAGAGGGGGGGACACTGCGGGGAGCTTTGGCTGACAGTCACCACTCTCTGCAGGGAGATGATCGACCCTTTTGACATCTAAAATGAAGATAACATTGTATATATCGTTTTTTACCTTTATGCGATGTATAACATGTATACAGGTCTATGTGGGCTCGGCAACGCACTGGACTCAGGGCTCGGCAACGCACTGGACTCAGGGCTCGGCAACGCACTGGACTCAGGGCTTACCTGAGGCCCCGCAGAGCCCACCTGAGAGTGACCCTGCAGAGCACACCATGGATCCTGCACAGCCCGTCTGAGACTCTTCTATGGTGGGCTCTGCAGGGCCTCAGGTGGGCTTCTCGCCAGGGGTTCCTTTTCCTGTACCTCCTCCCAACTCCTCTTACCTGCTGCTGCTGGGGCCTGGCCTCCTCCACCCCTTTCCCTGTCACCTCTGCCATGCCGCCCCTGGTACAGCTGATACTCCTAGAAGAGGCCCCCCCCAGGCTGCCCAGACCCCTCACATGGGTACCGGCCGTACCCCCTGATGGCAGAGTTCTATCAAAGTTTGTGACTATGTTACAATGTGTGACTGGTGACGTGGTCACACATTTCAATGTAATCCCACCCAGTTTTTTGCTGGTGGAATGTGTGACCGCCAATAGCACATAATTATGTGTCATTACTAAACATTTCTAAAAGGTGTGTTTGTTATTTTGAAGATGTGGGTAAAGGTCTACTTTAAAAACTTTGCCTTTGTGCAGGAGCTTCCAGTAAAAGATCTCTCACTGCTGTTCTCTCTACTTGTGCAGGGTGAGTGATCTTGTATCTGGCACTTCCCGTTTTCTGCAGGCAGACTAATCCATCTATTTGTCCTGGTGATCAGTGTCATGGAAACTGAAAGTTAAATTTTCAGTTGTTACTAGAACAGGCAGTAAGGGAAATCCAACATGGGCAGTTGTCTCAATGACAACGGTCTCAGAGGGGACTTCACCGTACTTTGGAGATCTCCTATCACTTCCTCTTGTGTCTGAAACAGAAAGTAAAAAGGGAAATCTCCCCAATAGGACACAGATAAACAAAAAGTAATGCTCCGGGCAAGGGTTTAACCCTTTCACTGCCAGGCGCTGTGCTCCACTTTTAACCTCAGCAGGCCGACCATTTTTACAACGGGCACCTCCATGTATGACATTCCCTGAATGCAAAAGTTCTGCCGTGCAAACAGTTGAAATGTGATTTTAAAAGAAACAACCATGCACTGTGATGCGTTGAAACATCACACTGCAGCACATGTGCACAACGCATAGCAGTGCGCACATTGTGCAATGGGCCATTATTGTGTTGGTGCACTGCTCAGGGTTGTCCATCTCAACTGCATAATACTAGTAATTTTGCTTACATAAACCAGAATAATGCTCGCCCCCACAGCACATAAAGTTGGACACTGGTCCTCTTCTTCTGAAATGCCATTGTTTTATGGTTAACTTACAAAATAGTAGATACTGTAGCCTTGCCTATGAAGACAAAGTGACAGTGTCTCAACAAAGCCCACCACCCACCCCCTTACTCAATATCAGCATTCATTCCTTCCCCACTCCCTTGCTCCTCTGAAGCCAGCCCTAAAGGATTGGCATTAGCAACCCAGAGGAATGTCGACGCTACTCCGTATGACCGTGCTCGGGCCTACCGACTGGCTGATAGGCCTGAGCACTATGACAAGTGGGACTATGACAAGGGGGGAGATCACATGCTCTTTACGATCTGCAAGTGACAGGTATTGTAACCAGATGTAGAGGAAGGAAGGAGCGGCGAGGAAGTGCTGGTAAGGTGAGTATAGGGGAAGGGGGTTGAAGGTGCCATTTGCAGAGACACTGTCAATTTGCCCAGTTTCTCCTTAATGCAAGTGTTAATTAGGTTTTAATCAACATCTGCTTCCAGTTTTAAGAAAAACAAAAATTACTATTGAAAAGTTATACCTGTTGTGAAGCTGTGCATCAGAATTAAGATCAATCATTGAATGATGAAAAGCAGACTTCTCCCTTAAAGTGACTCTGCTTTCAAAATCCCATTCTGGATAGAAATCATCAAAAACACGGTTTGTCTCATCAATATCTGAAAATTCTGTGCAAACAGCTGAAGAAAAAACAAAAAAATTATTTAAGATTGGGGGAATTAATGCAACTGTGAAGCACTGGAAATAAGCTAGTCAGCATATTACAAATACTTACAATCATCATGCTCAGGTAATGTCTGCAAATGAGATGATGTTTTAGCTCTTTTTGGAAAACTAGCACCAATTTTGGATCCAGCATCAAATGGAGCAACACCTGAACTGTAGAGTGTACTTTTAATTTTTTCAGCAGCCCATGTAACTCTTCTTTTTCTTTTAGGCTTGAAAAGGAAATATAGGTAGAAAAATGTTATTGATATAACAAGAAAACAAGCACAAATGCTAAGGCTTATCTTATGAACCAAGTGTACAAGAGAACCACTAAGCAAAGGCTGGTGCAAAAATGGCAACAGTTGTCCATTTTACTTGAAGGCCTCTGCCTGGTAATGCCAACACAGAATCTAAATGCACTGCCAGTATGAATCAATGACGCCTACAGACACTTGTGCACGCATGAAATTATGGCCATAGTAGACACAGTCTTTGTCTGTTCTCATCTTCAAAAACATTTTGTTTTAAAGGGATAAAACATGGTTAATGCCCATGTTTTGTAGAGATGTAATGAAAGTTTTTGTTTTGCCCTAACATACTTTAAAGTGTAACCTCCAAAATTACCCCAGCATATTAAAGCTAGGCACCTCCAGATGCTTATCAGTAGCCATATTTTAAGAACCCATTTCTGTTACCTGCTGCTCAGCCCAACATTCGTAAATCTATGTAGCATCAGATTCTCAAAGTGAAGCTCCAGGCAAACTGTTAAACATACCGTTTAAATACTTGGATGTCAAAGCATTTTGAATTAACAGCAAAAGCTGTTCACCGATGAATTTGCATTCTAACTTTTGCCCCATTAGCAGGTGTTCCAGGAAGTAACATAGCTAAACTAGGAAGTAGAGAAACTTTTTGGATGTTCTTTGGCAAAGATGTAGAAATCATAAGAGTGGCTAAACAGAATAAATCCTTTAGCAGGTAAAACAGTGAACATATGCACTCCAAATGCGTATCTAGCCACTTGCCTGGGGTCCACTTCATAATTGGTGCTTATATTTCATGTGCTAGTGTGTTAGTTTTGGTTGGGTTGTTAAACGCAGTAACAGATTTTGCTTTAAATTCCATCAAAGTAACTGCAATAGATTGCTTTTATAAACACTCTCTTACCTGTTCTTCCTGGGACACAGCAGCATCAATAACAATATTTTTCAAATTAGATATCCGCTCCGCTTTTTCTTTTTGAAGTTGTTGTATTACTGCAAGTAGTTGGGAATGTTCTTCTTTGGCCATTTGCTCGTTTGTTTTTGACACAGAAGACTCCTAGAGATGTACAATTTTATTTGGTTAATGAAAAATACTGAATGTAATTTCATTAGCTGTACTCATAAAAATGACCTTGTTTATTGGTCTGCATAAGGACTGACTACTCTAAAGTTAAAATGTATTTTACTTACCTCTAAGACTTCAAGTTGCTTCTTTAAATCCATTATTTCCTTTCTGTATCTCTTCAACAATGCTTCATCATCTAGGACCTCATTGACATGAGGCTTATTTTTAACATTCTTTGCAGCACTTGCAAACTGAAAAGATAATAAAAAAACATTGCAGTGAAGGGTCATTTTGAAGGACAAATGGAACTGTAAAAGAAACACTAAAAGTACCATCCAAGGGGAGCAGCTGCTACTACAAACCAGCCCATTCTTATTTGTGCATTGCGGGGAAGGATGGAATTTCAGTGTCATTACAGCAACTTGCAAACACCAACACTGTCAGTTAAGAATTAGGTAAAGCCCGAGTAAAGCCCCAGGTTTTATTTTGATATGCAGTCAGGCTGGTTTTTTTTTCACTAAGTGTATATGGTTTTTATTGCATGATTTACCCTGTGTCGGCAGCACACTGGAGAGCTGTACTGCTGCGATCACAGAGTGCAGTGGTCTGTGTCTCCGGTCCAAAACTCCCCCTGCACACTGCTCCATTCATCAACCCTGCTCCAGAAGCAAAAATGTTGTTGAACGGAGCTCTATTCAAGGGCAGCATTTAATTGCTGGTGATCAGGACACTGTGTGAAAGAAGCACTCTTGGCCTGCCTCCAAGAATCAGAACCCAAACTACACTTAAAATATTTTTGGTTTAGTGGGGATGGTTAGATCCTCTGTAAAGTTTTATTGCTGTGGATCCATCACTTTCCATTAGGGTTCTTTCAAACATGCTTTGAGAATTTAGTGAAAGAGCAACATCTGATTAATACACCTATAGTGTTAACAAGGCATAAGGGAGGCATCAAAACTGCTTGAAAATTGCCCTGCAAGTAGGGGAGTGTGTTAAAGGGTCAAGTGATGTAGTAAAGGTAAGTGACCAGCATCGGCCACACTTCTATTTTTTTCTGAAGGAGTCTCAGTAGCCGGGCAGACTGGAGCGGTTCTGGCTTGCATTTGCAATGCCTGGGAATGGTATGGCTGGCACTGCTTTGGATGACACTGATAACAGCTGGCATTACAGGGTGGCATAGGTTAGGCTTTCATAGGTTGCAAGTACCTAGCTAGAAGCTGTCCTCTTGCTGGCAAAATGCTGGCTGTGTACAGAGAGGAAATGGCATCTGCACTGTCCACTCACTAAAATTCCCCAGTGGTTTCTGGGATTGCAAAACCTCATATGCCTCTCCTAAAAACACCTGTGCCCGAATAATGCTATAGGAGCATTGACTGAGCATTTGAGGGCCATTTCAATATACTTTAATGGAATTTGTCTAGCGGTAATGCCTCCAGAACGGGACATGCATTTTTTGACACACAGCAAACACAACGCAAACACCCATGTGTGAACAGCACTGGGCGGTTGCTTTATCCCCCATGGGAATTAATAGATGACAGAGGCGCTAAACCACTTCTCTTATGCCTGGTTTTAAACACATGTGTGAAAGAGGCCTCACAGTGAAAAACAAGGGTCTGTAGGATAAGGGGTACAAGTACTAAATCTCTTTAATGGAGCCCTGCATAGCAGTAAAAGACCTTACTATATCCAAAACTAAAAGCAAAGATTTTGGCACGAGATACTGCTAAGTATAAAAGTAAATTGTAACAGTAGCTAACTAACTAAACGTATTTGTTGTAAACTGATGGCAGAGCTGCATACAGACAGCCACTCACTTAGCAACACAATGTTACGCAGTTCCTAAATGTTTGCAGAGATAGTAGTAGTAATAAACATACAGCTTTCTATCATTTATTTTGGTTAAAACAATGTGTCACTAAATATAAGCAAATCCATGCGTATGTTAATTACCTGGAGTGTGCTCAATGTTTCCTCAAAGGAAACAGGTGTAATGGTACAGATTATTACAGTCTTTGTATTTCCACCCAGAGAATTCTGAAGAATCCTTGTCAGCTTGCTGTCTCTGTAGTTGATAAAAACTCTAAAAACACAGATAGAGAAAAATATGAACCAATAAAAATGTTAAGCATAAGAAATCTTAAACTTGAATTTACAAATGTGACAACATATTTATACACACATAGTACTTACCCAGGTTGATCATCACTAAGTTTCTTAATGACTTGCCCAATGATAAACAAACTGCGGTTGATGTTGCACCCTTCTTTTAACCTTACACCTGAAGAATATATAAAAGTACATGTAAAGCATAAATCGCCTATGCCTCATATACAACCTTTTTCAATCCAAATACATTACCTTCTGCCCCAGTTTGACTTGCTCTTTCACTGCCAGCTAAATCAACAAGATTCTGGGAGAAATATAAATATTGTGTGTTAAAACGAAGCACAAGTGAGCTAGAAAAATAAAAAAATTATGTTATTGGGTAAATTCATAGTAAAGCATTGGTAAACGTAATGTACTTAAAAAAGTATTCATATACTTGATTCTTAAAAAAAATATTTATGTTACGAAAACAATTCAGGGGTGACTAATCACCAGACACTACATGTTAAAAGCATCTCCAGGTTAAGTAGGGAAAATAAAAATGAGGACATTGTTTTTTTTTGTTGCATTTTAGTGCTTCTAATCTTCTGCAGGCTCTTTGTAGTCACTACCCATCTATGTGCATGCAGACAGATCGAGGTTGATAAAATAACTCTTGTACGTACTTTTGGAAACCTACTTGCCCTCAAGTCTGTGACTGGACAATGAAGTAGCAGTAGACACATTAGGTCATTTCCATCCCGTTCCAGTATGTTCTTTGCCCACATGTAGCAACTGATTTGTCTGTAGTAATAACCCTCACCTGCTAGCCTAAGTGTGGGTGGACAGTGTCTGATACCAAGTAAAGCCGTTTTTGAAAAATACAATTTTTTTGAAATGATTGCATTGATTAATGTGTTTTTTTAAAACACATTTATCTACAGTACCTAGAGTCCATCAGGAGAGGCTTAAAAGAAAGATACAGCAGGTCTCCCATATAGTCACCATCATATTAACCCCTTAGTGACCGAGGCCTTTTTTTGTACCCATGATATAATCCACATTATAGGCCTGAAAATTAATTCAACCCCCCAGACATTATATATTTTCTGAAAGGCCAAGACCCTGTACAATAAAATGTTGGCAGTTTAAAATTTTTATGTTACAATGTATTATCAAGTCCCAAAATGTAGTGAAAAAAATCCCTTAAATGCCCTAAAACACAATTACTTTGTTTATTAAAATATAAAAGATGATGTTACAATGAGTAAATAGATACCCAACATGCCCAGGTTAAAAGTTGTGTGTGTCCGTGATCTGCGACAAAATCCAGTACCCCAAAAACTCCATATATGACGCTTTAAAATGCCCCACAGGCCATCAGTTTAGAGATATGCATAAGTATTGGCTTTAGAACTATTGCTCTCACTCTGACATGCGCGGCGATACCAAACATGTGTAGCACGATCGTCGTTTTCATATGAAGGCGCACTTGACGCGTGTTTACGTGAAGACACACATGCTCATAGGGGCAGGGGACTTTACAAAATTTTTGTAAAATTATTTTTACATTTAATATTAATTTTAAAAACTGTTATTTACAGTTTACCGGCCCGGAGACAGCCGAGTCGCCTGATTGTTTACAATTGTTGGCTTGTTGACTATTGTCGGCTTTACAATAGAAGCAGAGTCCTGGGGTCTTAAGCCGCCAGGAGTCTGTTTAAATGGGCCCGGTGCCAGTGAGGTACTATGAATAGTACCTCACTAGTTACAAAGGGGTTAAAGTACAGGTAGCACAGAAATTATTCCAAGTATCTGCTTTAGATCAGCTAACCTGCATCATTAGCAGGTCAGAAATGACAATTTTAATACACTTTTTTTTTTAAGGTGTTCTTTTTTTCCCTTTGGATAGAGTGGAGAAGGATGTTAGGCCTTTACTGTTGTCTGTGCCCCCTTTAGGCAGATTTACCTTCTTTTTCCTGGTGACCGTAACAACTGAAAGTGAAGGAAAATACCACATTTTGGGCTGCCATCCGGACAGGACTAGATGGAAAAACTTCCAAAGAGGACACTACTTGTTACTTGTCTGGTAAAAGTCTGCCTCAAGAACAGAAAGTGAAGGGAAATCTATCTAAAAGGTGGCCATACACTTTACAACCATCACAAGACCTTAGTCTTGCGATGGTTGTAAAGCAATAAAAAAAAAAAATAATAAAAAAAAACATACGATCTGCCCATCTTGGACAGGCAGATCGTACTTGCGATCATTGCAAGCCTGTCCCGCTGAGGGGCGGGCTTCCGATGACCGCAATGCTGAAACGGGCAGTGTGCGCAAACAGGCCCGTTCGGCGTTTGTCTCCCGAACATGCTCATTAGACAAAAGACATACGACCGTACAGTAAAAACGGTTGCACGCCTTCCATACACTGAGATTATCGTACGATCGCGGGATTTTCCGCGATAATCGCAGTGTATGGGCACCTCAACAGAGCTCTGGATAGCTGTAAAATCTGACAGACTTTCTAACCTTCCCCAATTCTATCCCAAATAAAACAAATGGGTATAGACACACTTTAACCACATAGGCCTGATTCACACCTAGACGGCACAGCTTTTGCGCTTTAGAGACACTGTGGTTATGCGCGTTGTGCACATTTTGATGCGCGTTTTAAACATGCTGAAGACACGTTTTGACTGGCAGCTCAAAATATTGCGGGCAATGGAAGAAAGCACGTTTAAATGTGCAAAAACGCTCATGAAAATGTGCAACATACTTGTGCCACGCGTTTTGGGGCATTTCCAATGACGTCTATGGGGCAAAAACGTGCTTTTAAACTGCCCAAAGAAGTTCATGTACCTTTTTGGGGGTTTGGCGTTTTCCTGCTCAGGTGTGAACCAGGGCCATTGAAAATCATGGCATTTCTTGTGTTGGGCATTTAAAAGTGCTTTTCCATCTGCTCAAAAACGCCTAGGTGTTAACCAGGCCTTAAAAAGGAGAACTATGAGTTGATTGAAAATCACGCAGCCTCATAGTTCGAGCCGACGCGTGACAATGAGACTGTCACACGTCGGCTCTATTGATCGGGAAGTGAGCGAACACATAGATCATCTCACTTCTCGATCATCTACCTGCAGTTTTTGGATGTGCTGCGTGGACCTTCCATCTATTGCATGTGCTCTGGATCTCAGCCAGGCAAGGCTACAATAGTAGCAGCATTATAAGAAGTAAACATGTCCCAGATCCCCTGACGGCAGCAGATGTGTGTATTTATCTATATACACACTGACACTATATTGACAAAGTATTGGGCCGCCTGCCTTTACACATAGATGAACTTTAATGGCATCCTAGTCTTAGTCCGTAGGGTTCAATATTGAGTTGGTCCACCCTTTGCCGCTATAACAGCTTCAACTCTTCTGGGAAGGCTGTCCACAAGGTTTAGGAGTGTGTCCAATGATTTGGAGGGGTGTCCCAATACTTTTGACAATATAGTGTATATGGAAGATATAAGCCAACAATGTGTTTGGGGTTATAAAAATATTACTCATAAAAATGAAATCATATTTCATATCACAATACAAAACAATATTTAAAGAACTATGACACTTGGTGAAAACAAATGGCAAGGTTTAAACTAACTCACCAGGTGAGATACCATAACTGCTCCTTCACAGTTCTCTGAATTGCCAGGGTCATTGCTCTCTCGGCTTTCAACAATCTGTCAGAAGTGAGGAACAATTTTTTAGGCATGGTTTGAAAGTAAACTTTTATCAATTAACTATCTTACTGCTACTACTTTATCATTTAACCAATCTTGACATTTTAAAGCTCATCTCTGGGGAAAAAAACCCCAAAAACTTACCCTTACAGTGGGGTTAACTACTCAGAACCTGTGTAAAAGGTCTTTTACTTGCCCAATTCTGGCTCCCTTGGCAGTCGGCGCTCACCTCTCCCCTACACTCCGGTTGGTGGGCTGTCCCTCTGCATTCTCACGTATAATACAGGGCTAGGGTGGTTTCCCCCCCCCCCAGAGATGGACTTTAATCAATCATTTATACAGCGCCATATTATATTCCACGGCCTCAAAGTTCCATATTTCAAAGTATAAAAAAAAAAGATAAGGTAACAAAATAAAAGAATATCAAACTTACCATTCTAAAAATTGTATGAGACCGGCTACTGCGCTCATTCATTTTTGTCTCCCCATAATGTCTGTTTTCTGTAAAAGAATATGAAATTCTGAAGTTGGTGACTTCACATGTGCAGCATTTAGAGTCAGTTTTAATATATTTTGTACTATCCAACATGAATGACATTTTTAAAAGGATAGAGCAGTGAACCTGGATGCGACAAACTTCAGCAGAATAAATTTTTTTTCCTCACATAGCAGAAATTACCAATGGTTGTTTACCTGGAGTTCTGTTATAAAGTGTATGTATAGCCAACATTTTTCATTTTAGCTAGAGAAAAGGTTAACACCTGCTGCTTTTTCCCCCCAGTACAATTGGTGAGATTTTCATTCACATCCTGTCCTGGAGGAGCCACAGGAAGTAAGAGGAAATCTTTCCCCCAAGGTCTCATTCCTATGGGCATACAATCACTGCATATGCCTGCAACGATTTCAAACGGTCTAATTTATATATTCCATTTGCTCACATTAGATGCATTCAGTTGCAAGACTGCACATTCAAGGGCAGATCTGTTACTTTGAACCCGCCTTAACGCATGTACATTTAAACACCGTAGAATAACGTTTATTTATGCTTCCCAGGTCAATTTCTCTTTATTTAAATAAAACAAAAACAGCAGACTCATGTGAATGAAGGCTTATTGAGGGGAGGTCAGAAAAAAAACATTTCACTCATAACATTTCTCCTTCTTCTGGTGGCTGTCAACTCAAGATTTTGGATTTCCCTTGCTCCTCTGTGGCAACAGCTACTAGGAAGAAAATACAGTGAAGGGAATTTATTAAAACCGGAGCAGACAACCTGGTGACCATAAGCCCACAAGTGTGAGCTATCCGACAATGACCACCGTCTCCATGTTTCTCCGCTGTATATGCACTTCAGTACTGATTGTGTCTTGTACCCTATATGCTGTTAAAATTTAATAAAAACTTTGAAATGAAAACCGGAGCAGACTTAGTCTCGAGCAGCTGTGGATGGCAACCAATCAGTTTCTATCTTTAATTTTCAAATCTTAACGAGACAAACTGAAGACAGAAGCTGATTGGTTGCCATGCACAGCTGCTCCAGATTTTGTCTGCTCCAAAATTGATAAAATTCCCCTCACCAAGGAGGACACAGACCAACAAAAAAAAAACAAAAAACCTGACAGGGGTCCCAATCATTCCACATTCTAGGTAAAACTTAAAGAAAAGTTTTGGATATAGATTTGCATTAAAGTGAAAAGCAAGTCCATAGAAAGCATCTAAAATGGCTCAGGAATTATTTGAATGACAATTGCTGGATTCCAAGCAATTAAAATTCTTGTACTAGAAGTTAGATACATTTCTTACTTTCACCCTTTTTGATCCATTGCAGGACATGTTCAGGAGACATCACAAGTTCTTCAGTCAGGCCAGCAACATACACATTTCGCTGTAAATAAGAAAAAAATAAAAATAACCCACCTTTTTAGGCCGGTTTGAACAGATAATATAAAAAAAAAAAAAAAAAAAAAAAAAAAAAGGAAGATTTTTCACTCATCCCTTTTTTGCTGCATATGCCAGCCTATGACAAATCTGGTTACTTTGTGCCTACATAGATATATATGCACTGGCTCATTTACTGTAGGTCTTAAATTGATAGTACCATTCACAATGCTGCTCCTATACAAAAACTAATGAAAAGTCACAGTTTGAACATGTAAGCAATTGGGAGGAATAAATCATCAAGAATAAACCTGTAGACAAATATAATGAAGGGTTTTACGCTGAACATGCCACAATACAAAGAAAGAGGTTTGTGAATGATGACAAAACTGGTGAGCCAGTTTTGGCACCAGTAAATTGCTATCTGGGGAAAATAATTATACGGCAAAGTAAAGGACTAATGACAACAGGGACATGGAAAGGGTAATATGTAAATTTTTATATTGTCTGTGTGCCAAATCAGTCATTAAACACATTTTCTGTGTTGCACCGGTCACGCTAAATCACTTTAAAAGTTGTCCATGGTGCGTAGGAGTAATCAAGCACTTGCGCCAAGGTTATGCTAAAAATTGTTCTTAAATGTATCCCATTTTTACATTGGCAAGCATTAGGGATGTCCCGATACCGATGCTAGAATCGGAATCGCGCCCGTTACAGGGCATTTTGACAAGTACTTGTACAAATGCTCCGATGCCTAGCGCCGAAGCTTGCGCTATGTTTTTTTCTTTTTCTTACTTACCTCGCCGGGTGTCGCGTCACTGCTGCTCCGGTGGGCGGAGCTCCAGGCGGGGTCCTAATTTAGGTGGCCGGAAACTGCCAGATGACCCCGCTTGGAGCGCCACCCACCAGAGCAGCAGTGACACGACGCTCGGCGAGGTAAGTAAGGAAAAAAAACAACAACCCAGCAGCGGCGATTCAGCGCTGGTCCAGTGGGAGGAGCTACAGGTGGGATTCTAATTTAGCTGGCCGGCACCTCTGAGCCAGCTAAATTAGGACCCCACCTGGAGCTCCTCCCACAGGACCAGCGCTGACTCGTCGCTGCTCTCTCCGGCAGTGAGTGAGGGCAAGGGGGGGAGAGTTTAATTGTAAATGTATTCTCTGCAGTATATACGCTATATGTACTACATATAGAGTACACAGTGCTAATACAGTGCATTTACAATTATACTCTGCTAACATGAATGGATTAAATGATCTATATGTAGCCCTGTACTATGGATCATTTAACCCATTCATGTTAGCAGAGTATAATTGTAAATGTATTGTTGCAGGCACTCTATATGTACAAGTACTATATATGACATATAGCATGCACTGCAACAATACATTTACAATTATCCTCTGCTAATATGAATGGGTTAAATGATCCATGATCATTTAACCCATTCATGTTAGCAGTGCAGAATTGTATATCTATATATATATATATACATATTCAGCACAAATGTCCTGTACATTGCAGCATTAGATTTACAATGATCCCCTGCTAACATGAATGGGTTAAATGATCCATAGTACAACTACATGTTATGTACCATTATGTACTATTGATCATGATTTAACCTATTCATGTTAGCAGGGCAGAATTGTAATTCTATTACTGCAGTGTACGGGACATATGTACTGCAGATCATGATTTAACCCATTCATGTTAGCAGGGCAGAATTGTGAGCGCCTCCCACACGCTGAGCACCGAGACGCGATGCAGCGATCCTGACCAGCGACGACTACGAGAGGCAACAAGGATCGGAGTGAAACTGAGTGAGGAAAGCTGGGACAGGGCTGGCTGTAAATCTATTGCTATAGTGTACTGGACATGTGTAATGTATATGTAGTACATATATACAGCACACACCTCCACTACACTCCAACAGTAAAGTTACAATTCTCTGCTGCTAACATTAATAGGTTCAATCATGATCCATAGTACAGAACATGTAGTTGTACTATGGATCATTTAGTCACCTGTCCCTTTAAGGAAAAGTATCGTTAATTGGTATCGGCAAGTACTTGTACTTGGGCCTGAAAAAGTGGCATCGGGACATCCCTAGCAAGCATATTATAGTAAGAAGGGGTAGGGAGCAAGGAGCAGCACTGCAAGATGGAGAAGAGGTGCAGTGTGTGTATGGATGAACAGTGAACGACTGAATTACTGAATCTGCAAGTACAGAAATTCCCTGATCTGCCGGAAATCTAGTGTGCGCTAAACTTTGTTTGGACTGAAACCCAAGAAATATTAGCTGCCTGCTAGACAACATAATTCTGCCTATCCCACATGCCTCTCATTCCCTCATCACACGCCTACGTTGGTTTTTTTTTTTTTACCAAACTAAACAAAACAGTGTTAATGCCTTAGCCCCCCAAAGACCCTGCCCATACAGTGCATGGGGAAAAAAAGCTTTTGAGAGATTTAGTTAGAGGCACAATATTACAAATAGGAACAGAGATCACAGCAGCTGAACTGCAAGCCTTTTACAAACCTAGGGATGTCACAGGGAGCAATAAAAGCTGTTTCTTAATACTGGGATATGCTCTGGAAGGGGAGAGCGAGGTTTGGGGGTAATGCCTAGTCAAACACTTTAAAGAATTACCAAGAAACTGATGAAAATAAACCAGATTTAACTTACATTAATATCCTCACGGACTTCCAAAGGCTTCTTTTTTCTGCTATCACACAGGAGGTCTGTGACGGTTTCATTATAGATTTCCATATATGAAACTCGTAATAAGAATTCTCTGTTTGGTATCTAAAAGGATAGATGCAAACAATAATAGAATATACAACAGTATTTTCCCATAAAATGTTCAGATTACAGAGAATTTTCAGATAAAATTTGCATATACTACAAATGAATAACAATTCTATGCATTTGTAATAGCAGTTTAAATTGGGAGAACTATATTACAGTAGAGTAGAAAGATAAAATGTTAAAACATATAGCCATACTTTAAAACATTAACCCAGGACAATAAAAAATACAAATATATAGATGGCAAAGAAAGAATTAACCTTCATTATCCTCGAGAGTAATGGGGGTTATATAGAAATGACATTAGTTTGAACATTTTGTCTACATACTCCCAGCTTTTCTCAGATAACATAATGGGTAACTGTCTGAGATATGGGACATTGTATGGCTGGCAAAGAATTCAAAATGTGTCTAAACATATAAATCACATTCACAAACTTTTGCCAAGATACATACCTCCTGAATGATTCTAAACACTTCCTTAACTGCTTGGGGTATAATTCCCAGGGTATTTGGAGTTCCCATCATTGTATATGTTTTGCCTGAAGAAGTCTGCCCATAAGCAAATATAGTTCCTGCAAAAAAACATATATGACTTGAGTATCCACAGATCAACAACATAGTTGGGCTTTTCTATACTACATAAAAATAAAAAAATCACCATTATATCCATGTAGAGCTGAGCGGATAATCGGAACTGCTACTTCTTGATAAACTTGAGATGTTGTTTCAAGCGAATTAAAAACACGATCTACAAAAGAGCACAGAATCTTCCTAAGTTAGTATATTATCATTCGCTTAGGAGAACATAAACATGAATGCACATCAGTCAACCCATCTAGTAGGGATGCACCAATAATGTTTTTTCGGTATCGAGTAACCAAATGTATATTTCGGTACTCGCCAATAACGCTACTGCCGCTAGCATGGAGCCAGCTTCCCGGACAATCAGGAAGCTGGGCGGCATGTCATTATCCACCTCCGGCTTCCCAATTGGCTGGGAAGCTGGCTCCATATTCCCTTGTGGCACTGCCGGTCAGAGGAAAGGTATAGGAGCATTTGGGTGAGTACAAGTACAGCTATTCCTCACTTAACGTCCGGGTTCCGTTCCTACGACTAGGTTGTTAAACAAATTGGTCGTTAAGTGAGGAACTGTATACATTACTGTACTAGTACAGTACTGTTGGAGATGTACAGCACTGTACAGTGTACTGTATATCTAAATACAGTACTTACCCGAGAATAGTAGCGGTGAACAGAGCACAGCACTGTATGCAAGATGCCGCAGCCACGTTCCCACATGTACTGTTGGAGAGCTGGTCGTAAGTGCGAGCAGTCGCTAAACAGGTAGGTCATTAAGTGAGGAATAGCTATACTCGGTATCGGCACTGATTTTATCTAGTCACTCGACACCCAAGCTACATCCCTTTGGTTAAGAAAACATTATTTTACTTAAACAATTAAAAACCTGCCGAAAACTTACCAAAATGAAAAGATCTTGTGCCATCAATCTGAGATACAGTAGAGTTTTCAGCTTTCCAAATTAAATTCACTTGATCCCCCTGTTCTCTAGAGTTTAGAAAGAAACAGCATTCCGTTAGTTAGGCTTTTTATTTTTAAATCTGCATTTTTCGTCAGTACAAAGTATTACAATGGGGAAAAAATACTCCTGCACTTTTTTAAATTACTGAATTATAGACAGGAAAAAAAAAAAATCAAATTGAGATTTGTGCCCTTAAAAAGACGTATTGCATGCTCATTCAGGCAAAAATGACACTTGAATGCCCATCCTCAATTCACTAAAAACAAACTTTCGCTGCCCACCACCACTCCATCAGAGCTTGGAGTCAAACCCAGTAAGAGCTGCTCACCAGAGCTTACGCAGTCCACCTCCTTAGTGTGTGTTTGAGCTTGGCGACTGGACGTTCAAGCCTGAGCACTGCCATCCTGGAAAGATGCTCCCATATCTGGAAGCACAGGGTATGTACTATGTAATGAAGGGGGCGGAAGCACTATAAAAAGGCAATTATACGCAAATTGGAGACGAGTGACTGTTGCTTTATATAGGGAGTACCCATGTTTTTGGCTATGAATATACATGTAACTTGAATGCAATGCCATTCAACTCTATGGAAGATGGGCTTTCTGGAAAACATACCCAAGCTTTTTTTCCCACACTACAGTAACATTCTTAGATGTAAATTGTATCTTACTGCAAATAATTGATTATGAGTCAGAGCTAGAACATCTAAATATTGAAAAAAGGTAGTACCAGTTATCCACTAACCAATATTGCTAAACAAATAACCAAGACTGCTAAACAAAATACTCAAAAATATGTTGCATTGCACACAGGCAAATGAGATCACAAAACCAATAGGAAAAATTGTATGAAGCTACAGGGTCAGCAGTCAGGCATAGGCATTAATAAACCATGGGTATTGGTTCTTTAACAGCAATGAATTTGCGGCATATGCAAAATTTGACAAATGTTTCTGCATGCTCGGAGACCAGCATTACATGCTTTCACACACACCAAATTTCTATTAGGTTAATATTTTTTCCATCAAACCAATAAACCACCAAGCAGGTGCCAAGAAGTCCCTGCATCTACCCTTATCTACCTTCTAGAATGTCCCAAAAGCCATGAATGCTCAGTCTGTCATAGCTGCTTCTAATTCCGACTCAGAGCTCAGCCATTTACTAACAGAGGCGGGCACTGCAGGATTGCTGGCTGGCCAGAATGCCAATCTGTGCCGCATTTACATGGGCTTAGGGGTGCATGAGGAGACAAAAGACATGGAGGCAACAGGGGGCCCAGTTATAAAGCAGTGGGATGGACTTATGTTGCTTAAAAAAACAATAAAACAAACAAGTTGCACATCTATAAAGCGCAGTGATGTGCTTTACAAATATACATTGAAATAAAAAAAAGAGCCTGGTCATCTGATCTGTCAAAGTCATGTGTCTGGCCTTTCCTCCAATAACACATTTTTCCCCTGCAGCATTAGTGTATGTACATTTCAAGAATGAGTGGTGCATTTATTAGTGATGCACCGATATATACAGAAAATTGCACTTTTGGCATAATGTCGAAAGTGCCATTTTCTGGCCGATACAGCGGCGCATTCGTGTATTCTCTCCTCCACACTGGGCGCTGCTCTGTGTCCCAGCGGGGAGGAGAGAAACTGTGACAGGTGGGCGAGCGCTGCGGGAGGAGAGTGCTGTGAGCGGCCAGCGTCTCTCCTCCCACACCGCTCAGCCTCCTATCACAGATCGGCAGAGACAGCCAGCGCTGTGCTCCGCTCGCCCAGCATCCTGTGACAGCGTGTCAGGATGGAGAGCAATCGATAATACGAAATCACCTGCACTCCATATAGCATACAGACCTTGGATGAGAGGTTGGTGTTTGAAGTGACAACACGGATGGCGCAGTGTCAGGTACAGTCCATAATGGAAGTCACCAAAACAAAACACTAGGTCGCCCACGAAGGGACTCAGCGTTGCCCCCGAAACGTTTGCTGTTTGACACATGTGACGATTTAACAAAGTGCTTTACTTCTTGCACAAATCATCGAGTGCTGGTGACTTCTATTAAGGATGGAGAGCAAGGTACAAACACTCAGTGATCGCTGAGTGTTTGTAAATAATTGAGAACATGGTATGGTTACTATATCCTCAATTATGAATGAATTGGAAGTGATCTACATCACCTCCTGTTCATTCATGATTGTGGTTATAGTAAACACACCATGCCCTCATGTTATGAATGAACAGGAGCACTCAGTATTGAGAATTCCTGTTCATTGATAACAGGGGGTGCAGAAAAAGATTGAGGACTCGGTTCTCAATCTCTTTTTCTATTTTAAAGGGAAATATCAGGAGTCTGTTTAAACCCCCAATATTTCCCCGAAGCCCCTAAAAGTAAAAAATAAAAATATTTAATTTTAAAAAAATTAATAAAAAAAAATGTAAAAAAGTGTATAAAAAAATAAAATATTTGAAAAATGTACAATAAAAAAACATTTTTTGTTTCGGCCTGACTTTTATTTCGGTTTTGAAATTCTCATTTCGGTGCACCTCTAGTATTTATCTGTGGACCGTGTCAGAAATCGTGAACTGAAAATTTCCTTACAATCTACCACTGCAAAAAAAAAAAGCATATTTTGCCGCCACATTTTTGTTCTTTGGTTGAGATGCACTTTTAAGCAGAGAGAACTCAGAGGGACACCACAGCCTGCATTTTATGAATGGAACATAAAAAGCAGGTCACTCTGCAATCAGACACTTCCAAGTGTGTCTGAAACTGTGGGCTTCTATTACTGCTGACAGAAGCTGGCTAGAGATGCGACAGGCTCTCTTTAGAAACTAAACCTAGCCATACTCCAGTAGAATATCATTCAAAAAAGTTTGTTTTAATAGTTAATTGGGGTCAAATTGATCGTTTTGGACCAAAGCAACAAAAAAGAAGGAATAGGATGGAGGTTTTTTTTCTTGAACGATACAAAATTGCATGTTAAAGAACTCTGTGCAAACCTTTTATTTACCTGGTCTAAGGTCCCATAAATCACATTTTATACACTGCGTATAGATGTGTAGAGGCTGCGGATTATTCCAATGCTTCAACAAAGGAGAGGGGAACAAGGGAGTACTGTGACAGTTGGCTCAGAGTTTCGGGTGAGTATAACCTTATTATTTTAGCAGCTAGACAAAAACAAGCACTTAAAAAAGGAGAACTTTGAGGTGAGTGATTTTCACTCACTTCATAGTTCGAGCCGACGTGTGACAATGAAGGCCGTGACACACTGCACGCGAAGCCGTGCAGAGCGAAGCAAAGCTCTCCGGCACGGAGCTTTGCGTGCAGTGTGTGAGCTGAGTGCAGTCAGATGAGTGACAGCACCTTCAGCCAATCGGCTCGTCTGTAACAACCTGCCAGCTGTCGCATCCCGTCGCGCCGGTTTATACGCGCGAGCCAATTGGCTGAAGTTGAAATTGTTCATCTCGGCACGCTCAGCTCTGCGAGCTCTCGCCAGCTGAGGTGCCGAGAAGAAAGTGACATGACACACTGCTCGCAAAGGCAGCGCGCCACTTCGCCTGCAGTGTGTCACGGCCTTAAAACTGTCACACGCCGGTTCAATATATCGGGAAGTGTGCGAACACATACCGTCAATCGCTCACTTCTCGATCTCGAACACTTACCCCATAGTTCTCCTTTAAACCTTGCAGTAAGGGGTTGCCCCACTGCCAGGGTTAAGAAAAGTTTTGCCCAGAGTTCTGTCAGAGACTTTTTTTTAAATTGCGGTGTAGATTTCTGACATGGGACAAAGAGCCTGGGAAAACATGCAAGGAGGAGGCAGATAAGAACTACTAACTATTAGTTAGAAATGTATCTAGGTAGCCAAGTTTATTAAGGGGGGGGGGCTTGCGCTCTTCTGGTGTGTGAGAAGTAAAGGACCTTGTCTTGTACCCGGTATAGCCATCAGTCTTATAGACATCGCTGAGCAATAAGCAGACACTATGGTGCCTTGAGGTCACACAATGTGAAAATAGCACGCAATAATAGTCCCCCTATAATACTGCGCTGTCATTATTACCTCTGTATAGTCGGGCGAACCCTTAAACAGACTTTCACCGCGTCTTCCTCGGCCGCCATCTCCCTGCCTTCTTTTCTTCCTCCTCTTCTGTGTCAACTGCGGGCGGCTGCCAGATGACTCGATTTGAATTTCCCTCTCTTCGTCCGTGAGTGGTTCATTTGCGTGTGACGTCACCACGCTCTCCCAGCCTGCCGGAAGGAACCATTTGCCAGCCAAAAAAAGACGGGCTTTGGAGAGGTAAAGTCACCCGGTATATAGTATTCTGCTAAAAAAAATAATAATATTTAATTCCCTTAGACTTAACGGATCGTTTTTTGTTTTTCTTTTTTTACTAGGAGAGCAAACTATTGTTTTCGCCGTTTGGTATAAAAATGGTATCGCCTGGTTTCTAGCGTAAGGAGTTCTGCGAGGGACAAAATGTTTGAGAGCGCTGATCCTTTTAGATCAGTGTTGTGTGCTGTAACTGCACTGACGCCGTTCGCATTGTACAGTGTATTGCAAATTGTTTTTTTGTTTTTTTTGGTTAACACATTTCACTAATATTTCCATCCATGTCTTTCTCTTCTAGGAGACATAAATATGTATGTAATACAAATATATTTAGGTTAACCAGTCCTTAGACGTTGTGTGTGCATTACTTTTCTATTTTCACAGCTATATCTATAGAGAAGCAAAGTTGTGACCCTACAACAAGACTACAGAACGCCTCCCCACCTCCTCAGCTTCATAACATGGGAGAGGCGTTCTGTAGTCTACAGAGATGAACTGGGCGAGGTTGACATTACTGGTTGAGATTTGTACTGGATTTCTGGCAGGGTCAACAGAAATAAGGAACAGATATAACAAAACCCATTCATTGGCATAGTTCACTGACTGGCAGAGTGCAAACGAGAAGCTCATTGTTAGCATTGTAGATATACTTGAACACATTTGCTGCCAAACCAAATTTGTCATTGTTGCCGCACATGTCATAATCTGAATTTTTGGGTTGAAAATTACTCAACCACACCCCCCATTATTCCAATATTGTATATTATTTTCTAATGGGGAACTGTAGAATCATAGGAGACGGTAGTATGGGTGTTCTTGATCTCTTCCCGCTAGGCCATCTGAAGGTTTTTGTTTGTGGTCCTGATTCCCAGGGGAAGTGGGGGAACCACAAGGGAACTGACTGGTGGAGTGCACACTAAAGACAGCCATAGAAGTGACTGGGTGGTTTTACAACTGTCTAAAACACCTCTACCAGAAAACACTCACAACTGATATTGCAGCTGGCTTTAGTCTATTGGCTGCCATGACATGTACAACAAACCATCTAAAGTAAAATGTAACAAAAATGCTGCCTGGAAAAGTAAGCTTTTATGCCTTTCTTGTCTTGCTGCCTGCACCGTCACACTTGGCTGCCGAAGAACGGTCTGTATCTGACGGTTTGGATGTCTAGTTCCCTGCTGAGTGCTGTGGTTCCATCCACCTGTTTCATTATAACAGACAGTAGTGTGGATAGGACCACGTCGCTCAGCAGGGGACTGCACAGCAGACACAAACCAATACACATTGGTGAAAAATCTTCTGAACACTCCTATTGTGTAATCCTGTATCCCTCAATTTTTTGTCTGGAGATCTAATTTTCAAATTACGAGCTCAATGAGATCTACCAACCAAAGAACACCTGCATTTAAAAAACAAGCACATTAAAATCCTTACTGGGACTACTGCCTCTCTCTCTTGCGCTCTCTCTCCATGCTCTGTCCCCTGTCTCTCTCTCTCTCTCTCCTCTGGTTGTCTCTTCTTTCTCCTCACACTCTCTCTCCTTGCTCTCTCCCCTGTCTCCCTTTCCCTGCTCTCTCTCTCCCCTGTCTCTCTCTCTCCTCTGGCTGTTTCTTCTCTTTCTCTCCTCACGCTCTCTCTCCTTCCTCTCTCCCCTGTCCCTCACTCTCTCCTCCGGCTTTTTCTTCTCTTTCTCTCCTCGCGCTCTCTCTCCTTGCTCTCTCCCCTGTCTCTCACTCTCTCCTCTGGCTGTCTCTTCTCTCTCCCTTTCCTCGCACGCTCTCTCCTGTGTCTCTCTCTCTTGGCTGTCTCTTCTCTCCCTCTCCTTGCTCTCTCCCCTGTCTCTTTCTCTCCTCTAGCTGTCTCTTTTCTCTCTCTCCTCGTGCTCTCTTTCCTTGCTCTCTTCTGTCTCTCTTTCCCTGCTCTCTCTCTCTCCTCGCACTCTCTCTCCTTGCGCTCTCCCCTGTCTCTCTCTTGGCTGTCTCTTCTCTCTCCTTGCTCTTTCCCCTGTCTCTCTCTCTTCTGGCCTTCTGTCTCTCTCCTCGCGCTCTCTCTCCTTGCTCTTGCCCCTGTCTCTCTCACTCTTTTCTGGCCGTCTCTTCTCTCTCTCTCCTCGCGCTCTCTCTCCTTGCTCTCTCCCCTGCCTCTCTCTCTTCTGGCCGTCTCTTCTCGCTCTCTCCTCACGCTCTCTCTCCTTGCTCTTTCCCCTCTCTCTCTTCTGGCCGTCTCTTATCTCTCTCTCTCCTCGCGCTCTCTCTCCTTGCTCTTTCCCCTGTCTCTCTCTCTTCTGGCCGTCTCTTCTCTCTCTCTCCTCGTGCTCTCTCTGCTTGCTCTTTCCCCTGTCTCTCTCTCTCTCCTCTGTCTGTCTCTTCTCTCTCTCCTCGCGCTCTCTCTCCTTGCTCTTTCCCCTGTCTCTCTCTCTTCTGGCCGTCTCTTCTCTCTCTCTCTCCTCGTGCTCTCTCTCCTTGCTCTTTCCCCTGTCTCTCTCTCTCTCTCCTCTGTCTGTCTCTTCTCTCTCTCCTCGCGCTCTCTCTCCTTGCTCTCTCCCCTATCTCTCTTTCCTTGCTCACTCTCAAATGCTAATTAAATGAATTGCAATGGACGTCGCTCCTGATGTTTAAAAGTTTTACCTCTCTGCAGAGCACTGCCTTTATATCTTTTTTGGGGCCCATTCACACGAGATCCAGATTATCTCCAGACAAGACCAGATTGTTTCTGGACCCAAAAAGCATCCTAAGGTATCCCTATGCTATTTCTGGCCTCTGTTTACACCGGCGCAGTCCGTACCAGAGAAAAATACTGCATGTCTCATTTTGTCTGGTCTGGAATGCACTGGAATGCATGGAAACACATCAAAAATGCAAACAAACACACTGGAACGCACCTGAAAGCCCATTGTAAGCTAAAAGCAACAAAAGTGCTCCGAAAAGCAGCACAATTGCAGTAAAAACACGGCAAAACACAATGCAAAATGGTGTGAACCTGCCCTTAGGGTGGCTCCTTTCCCTTGCAGGGTCCTATGGAGCCACCCTTGTGTGTGCTAGTAAGTTGTGTGCTATAAATCACAAACACACAAGGCACAGCATGGTAAGACACTCCCCTCCTCCCTTCTGTATGCTAGTTGATGGACAGCTGCTGGATACTGTGCTCTCCTTGTGATTTGCACTGGACAGGAAGTTCAGAGAAGCTGAGCTGAGAGAGTTGGCACTGTTTGGAAACATGATGACTGTCAGTGTTTGGGCAAAAAAAATTAAAGAGATACTTTGCTGGGCAATGTATATTTATTTTGTCGCGTTACACAAGCATTTTCATAAGCCTTTAAGATTATTTGTGTTTGATCTGTCTCGGGTTTTTGTCTTCACCCCTCCCCATAGTTCAGTTTTCCCCTGTGTAGATAGCGCCGCCCTTCCTAATTATGTTCCAGTCGGCATTTCAGCCACGTGTTCTTTGATGAAGAGGATAACATCAGATCTTTTGACCTTTTCTATGTTCGTTGTTGTACAGATCTGCACAGGTTGGATTAAACTACTCAACGATCTTCACTGTCTGCCAACACATCTAAAAATGGTGAATTACTGCCATCTTGCCTCAACTGTAAGTTACAGAGATCACACTTTGAACTTCCGGCCGCAATACGTCTATACACAGCGGCCAGCAGAAGTGGTTAAAACAAGTTGCTGTCATTTTTAACAGCCAGCAATTGTCACTTAATGTACAAGTGCTACAGCCGCCGGATCCTCTGTACCGAGTGGCGCTGTGCCCCCTCCTCCCCCCCCGGGGCGCTGTCTGCTTCCCCAGGCTCTGTTGTCCCCGTGCAGGGCCCGGGATTGGCACGGCGAGTCTCCCTGCAACGATCAGAGAGAGATTCAGCGGCTTCCAGCCCCTGAATCTCTCCTCTGATAACTGGACCCGCAAGTGACATGTATTACATCACTTCCAGTGTCACTATTTACATTCTCCGGCTCTTAGAGCCAGGAGAAGAAGCAGAGAAAGCAGATCTCTGCGTCCTCAGCTTCTTTAGGGTCCCCAGGTGACATTAGGTGTCTGAAAGACCCCTGGTATCTCCATAAAGAGGACCTGTCACACCCTAACTGCTATTACATGACTGCTCTAGACATTCAATATTCTGTGGATTTCCAGAAGATGGTCTCATTATTTAGTCAAACAAAATTTCAGAGTCCTCTTACTTGTCTCCACGTAACAAACTAATCTTTCACACATCCTTCTTTATTAACTCTCTGCAAGGTTGGAGGAAGACCATAACCACCAGGTTTGTAGCCTGACTAAAGCCATGTTCAAAATTCCCCAGTATATTGTATGTCAGACTCCAGCTTCCACCTTCTACTTTGCAAACCCGTAGAAAGCTTCCCCACACATCATCCAGGTGAAATCATGCTACACTTCCTGGACCTGGAAGCGGGCCCCCTGTCTGCTGAGGCTGCTGTCCAAAAACTGCCTGTGACAGCAGTACATTTGGAAGAGCAATGACAGAGGTTGCTGTCTGATCTGGCAGCTACTTGCTTGCCATCACTGCTGCCTCACAATTGTGTTGTAATGCCAGCGGAGAACTGCTAGATTTGTACAGCCCTGCGCTGGGTACATTAACTGTATGGTACCACTGCCTGGCACTCTCTTTGCGCCTTCCATCATCATGGAAACCGCTGCTGTGAGAGCCCTCTGTGTTGTGAGATACATTAGTGGAACCAAATGCTGGAAAAGGGTTCTGATGCTGAACTTGGGCACACAGCCTGGATTCCGTGGGACCCCAGAATTTTGCTGAAATCCCGGGACA